ACGCCCGGAGCAAAGCGGCGATCCAGAATCGTGCCAAAGCTGCAGTGGGAGTATCGTTGTGAAGCGCCGAGAACGTTCTGGTGGGGAGGAACAACATCAAGGGCAATCTCTTGACACTCCTGCTCTACCACATGCACACGAACCAGGTTCTCGAAAACAAGCGCAGCATCAGAGGGACGGATGAGGAAGAGGAAGAGGAGGAGGAGGAGGAGGACGAGGGAGGGAGGAGGAGGAGCAGGAGGAGCAGGAGTAGGAGGAGTGGAGAAGGATGAGGTAGGAGGCGAGGGAGGAGGAGGAGGAGGAGGAGGAAGAAGAAGAAGAATAAGCAGAATAATAAGAATCATAATACTAATAATAAGAAGAATAATAATCATAGGAATAAGAAGACGCATCATAATAATAAGAAGAATAAGAATAATAATACTAATACTAAGGAACATAATAATAATAAGAATCAGAAGAATACTAATACTTAGAAGAATAATAAGAATACTAAGAATAATAATAATAATACTAATAAGACTAAGACGAAAAATAATACTAATAATAATACGAATAAGAAGAATACTGATAATAATAAGAATAACAAGAATCATACTAATAAGAAGAAGAAGAAGAATAAGAAGAAGAAGAACATTTAATAATAATACTAATAATAAGAAGAAGAATAATAAGAATAAGACTAATAATACTAATAAGAATAAGAATAAGAATACTAAGAATAAGAATGATGAGAATAATAATAATCATAAGAATGATAATAAGAAGAAGAAGAAAAAGAGGAGGAGGAGGAGGAGGAGGAGGGAAAGGGATGAGGAGGAGGAGGAGGAGGAGGAGGAGGAGGAGGAGGAGGCCCCCTTCCCCTTGCGCCGCCAGAGGCGCCCAGCCCGGCGGCCCACCGGTCGCACGCCGCCCCCGCGGACGCTCACCGAGCGCCCGACGGTCTCGGGCACACGGTCGCCGTCGGGGCCCTCCGCGGGGCCCCCAGCGGCCGGCGCTCGCCGCCGCCGCCCGCCGCCGCCAGCGCTCGTCGTCGTCTTCGCCCGCCTCCGAGGAGCGACGATGGCTCGATGTGGGCACCGCGGATGGCGTGCCTCTCGGAGGGGGGGTGGGGGGAAAGGGTGGTTGAGGAGGAGGAGGAGGAGGAGGAGGAGGAGGAGGAGGAGGAGGAGGAGGATGAAGAGGAGGAGGAGGAGGAGGAGGAGGAGGAGGAGGAGGAGGAGGAGGAGGAGCTGCCACCGCCGGCATCGCCGCTCGAGGATCCAGGATAGCAGCTGAGAGACCGAGATCTGTAGCTGCACTTCGACGGAGAGTCGCCGTTTTTTCTCCCACCCGGAGGTCAGAACACCGATGTGCAGACTGGATGGGGCAGGTCAGGGGGCGCGGGCGAGCACCTGTTTCGCAGTGGCCATACCCTGGTCCGCCTGCTCCACGGCGGCCCCTCCAGGTGACGTATGCCGAGTCCGAGGGTTGAGGTCCGAGAAGGTCCAGCTTGGCAGTCTCGGTTTCTGGAGCCCGTTCTCGGGCCCCGGGGACGTCCGACGCCAGAGGCCCAGGCTTTTTTTTTCACTTGGGCGCCCAGGCTCCGGCCCTGCCTGGACCTCGGGGCCCGCCCCTCCCGGCGGAGGAGGAGGAGGAGGAGGAGGAGGAGGAGGAGGAGGAGGAGGAGCAGGAGGAGGAGGAGGAGCAGGAGGAGGAGGAGGAGGAGGAGGAGGAGGAGGAGGAGGAGGAGGAGGAGCAGGAGGAGCAGGAGGAGGAGGAGGAGGAGGAGGAGGAGGAGGAGGAGGTGGAGGAGGAGGAGGGGCAGCCGCGTGAATTTAATTTTCCAGAGGGCGGCACCTCCGCCTGGCCTGCTCCTGGCAGTGCTCTTGTGGAGGGGCGGCCCCGCGGGGGCCTTTCCGGGCCGTGCTGGGACCCGCTGGAGCTCTGCCGGGGCGCGCTGTCGGGGCAAGCAGGCCTCGTGTGCCACCCGCGCGCCCGCCCACGGGACAGGACCCACCCGGACAGGATGCCCGCGTCGTGAAAGGAGCTCGACAGGAGTGCCGTCGCTGCTCTCGGCCTCCTCCCGGGGCCCTCGCCGGGCCCGGGGACCGTTACAGGAGGCGACTGGGTATAAACAGCTGGCCTGTGGGGGAACGGGTCGGGGCTTCCAGGGACCCGAAGAATCAGGGCATCACATGTCTGAGTGCCTGTCCCCCCCCCCCCGCTCCCTCCTGCCCTCTCTCAGCCGCAAGCTCCGCGAGGCCTCTGGGGGCCTCTTGGATGCGAGGTCCCTACAGGTCTCCAGAGGCTTCCGCGAGGCGGCGATCGTTATCCTGGCGGAGGGCCAAGCCATATGCATGCGTAAACGCCGCAAGGCAGGTGTAAAGAAGGAGGACAAGGAGGATGAGGCCACGAGGCATGTGAGGGGTGTGACGAAACAGGCGGGGCGGAACTGCATGCGACGACCGCAGCCGCTGGGGCACTTGGTGGAGAAGCCGATGGAGACACGAAGCATGCGAGGGGTACGCCGAAATTGGCGGGGCGGAGGCACACAAACACGGCCACTGGGGCCTTCGGTGGAGTTCCGTGGCCAGGAAGCGTGCGAGCGGTGTGCCGAAATATGTGGGGCGGAGGCGTGCGAACGCAGCCCCTGGGGCCCTCGGTGGAGCTCACTATTGGGCCGCGACGCGCGCGAAGCCTGGCATCGCTCGGCCGTGTGCATTTTTCCTTCGGCGAGGACCCTGGAGGAGCATCCTTGATCATTTGGCGAAAAAAAAAAAACACGCACGGAACCAAAAAACACACACAGGAAATGGACGTCCGAGCGATGGCCAGGAAGGGGTGTGCCCCGAAAGGGGCGAGGCGGAGGCAGGCGAGAATCCAGCTGCGGGGGCCCTCGGCGGCGCTCCCCGTGTTGGCCCCACGGAGCGGGCGAGCAGCGCGCGCCGGGCATGCGAGCGAGACGCTTTTTGAGGCGGGAGAGGGTGGGTGAGAGCGGGGCTCTTCGGCGGATTCAAAATCGGGCGAAGGGAACTATGCACATGCACCGATCCTGACAACGTCCATCCTTGACCCAGGATCGGTGCATATACCTTCCTAGCCAAGGTAAGAGGGCGTATGCACCGATCCTGGGCTCAGGATGGGCCTGGCCAGAATCGGTGTATGTGCATAGTTCTCTTTCCTCTATCAAAAGCGGACCCAACCCGACACCGGCCGGTCGGTGAGTGCGGGCCTGCCCGGAGACACCGAGCATCGAGTTCCTCGAGCCTCACTCCTGCGGCCCCGCGAAGCCCCCAGCCCTGGGGTCCTTCCACCCTCCATTCAGGAGGGGAAAACACACACAGACACAATTCCCCGTCGACCCCCCAGGACATGTGGGAAACTGTGGGAAGCGGGGGGGAAGACAGGAACCCAGAACACATGCGAAAATGTGGGGGATCCTGCTCTCTGTGTGTATTTATTTGTGTGTGTGTGTGTGTGTGTGTGTCCCAGGGCCCCTTCATCCATGCCCTGCGAACCTCGACGCCCGACCCCCGGTGCTCCAACCCACGCCCGGCGAAGCCTGAGCCTCGACCCGCGGGCCTCTCCTCTCCCACGGCCCTGCGAGCATCGGCTCCTCGACTCGCGGGGCCTCGGTGGCCTGGGCCCCCCCTCCCCCGCCCGCCCCTCTCTCCCGCACGGTGTGCCCTGCGAGTCTCGACCGGCCCTGCGATCGGCGTCACCCCAGCAGGCTGGTATCATCTCGCGCCCCGAGAAGTCTTACGGCCAAGACGCTGAACTGAGGGGCAGTTTGGATTCGGAAGGGGCTCGGGGATCTGGGCCGTTTCTTAGATTTATGTCGCGTGGCCAGAGAAGCCCCATTTGTTCCTTATTTGGCGATCCTTCTGGTAGTACCTCAACTGTACAGTATATGCGTCGTGGCGGGCGCTTTCTGGCCACGCCCCTCGGGAAACGATACACTACAAGATGGGTATACGATATTTTCGGGTCGGGCGCGCGCCTCCATGGAGGACATCCAGTATTGGTATACCTCTGTGCGTCCCTTGCTCGCTCCCTCCGCCCCCTCGTCCGACGCCAGAACGCCTCTGTGCGTCTCCTTTGATCCTCGACCCTCGACCTTCGACCCTCGAACCTCGGACCTCGACCTCGAACCTCGACCCTCGACCTCCGACCTCCGACCTCGACCTCGACCTTGACCTCGAACCTCGACCCTGGACCCTCGACCTCCGACCTCGACCCTCGACCCTCGAACGTCGAACCTCGACCCTGGACCCTCGAACCTCGACCCTCGACCCCCGACCCTCGACCCTCGACCCTCGAACCCCGACCCTCGACCCTCGAACCCCGACCCTCGACCCTCGAAACCCCGACCCTCGACCCTCGATCCCCGACCTCCGTCCTCGAGCCCTCCGACCCTCGGACCTCGACCTCAAGAGACCCTCCGCTCTCGCACCCCGCCCTCTCCGTCCTTGAGCCTCGACCCTCCGCCCTCGAGAACCTCCGCCTTCGCCCTCCGACCCTCGCACCTCGGCCACCGGACCCCAAGGGCGCCCTCGAGGGCGCGCAGCTCCTCGCGCTTCTCGCGCGCTCTTCGCGCGCTCCGCGGTGCGGCTCCGCTTCCTCCTCGTCCTCCTCGTCCTCGTCCTCCTCGGTTCTCCGCCTCCTCGTCCTCCTCGTCCTCGTCTTCCTCCTCGTCCTCGTCCTCCTCTTCCTCCTCCTCCTCCGCGGTTCGGCTCCGCTTCCTCCTCGTCCTCCTCTTCTCCCCTTCGGAGGCGGCGCGAGAGCGCGAAGTCGTTCGCACGGCGCGCTCCGCGCCGCGCGAGGCGCGCGAAGTTTTGGGAGCCCTGGAGACCCCGCAGGCCCATGGCGGCTCCTCGACCCTCGAGGCGCGCTGCCTCGTGGCGAGTGCTCCTGGCAGACCAGTGCCACGCCATGTCGGGCCGGACTCCCGAGGGGGCCGCCCCCCAGGCAGGATCGCGTCGCAGCAGAAATCCGGACGGGAGGGTTTGGCTAAAACGACACGACGATCGGGACAAAATCGGATCGGGATAACTCGAGATTTCCGAGAGTCGGCGGGTTTGGAGGATGTATCGGGCGCCGCGGCCGCTCCAGAGCGTTCCGGAACGCTCTGAGAGCGCTCCGGAACGCTCTGGAGCGATTTATCCCGATCCTAGCCCTGTTTTAAGGGTTTGGCCCTTTTCGTCCTCGGGGGGCCCTCGCCGGGCCTCGGGGCCGTCAAGGAACGTCTCAGGATGAAAAGCCGGTGCTGGGGCAAGGGGCGGGACTTCCAGGGACGCCGCATTGAAAAGATCAGGGCGTTGCATGTCTGGGCCCAGGTCAGATGGGGTCGGAGCAGATGGGGTCGGAGGATCGCGCCACCTCTCCCCTGCATCGCCGATGCGGCTCGATGTGGGGCTCGATTTGCTCCATGTCGACGTCGCAGATGCATCACCGCCGCCGATGCATCGCCGATGCACCGTCGGTGCATCGCCGATGCATCGGCGAGGCGGCGCGATCCTCCGACCACATCTACTCGGACCCCATCCGGGAGGGCTCTAAGGTCAGAGGACCCTGAGATCCGACGTTGCGAACAAAACATGCAAATCGTGAAAAATCGCGCCCGGAGCCCCTGACCCCGTCTTTCTGCATCATTTCTCGAGCCAGATCGATCTGTGAGGGTCCCGGGCCCTGACAAAAGGCGAAAGCGCCCGGCTCGAAACAATTGGAACGCCAATGTCTTAGGCTTGGCATCGCTCGGACGTGTGCTTTGTTTCTCTCGGCGAGACAACCGAGGAGCATCCTGGTCCATCGAGCGAAAAACCACGCCCAAAACCGACAAATGCACGGCGAATGGACGTCCGAGCAAGCGATGGCAAGTGGGGGAGAGCGCCCGCTCCAAGCGGTGGGCGCGGGACTGGAAAATGACCACAGCCACTGCTTCTTGTTTGCGCCGCCTTCCAGCCGGCCGAACAAGAAGCAGCGGCTGTGGTCATTTCCCTGGTGCCGAGCTCAACGAGAATGACCACAACCACTGGGGGCTGGGCTGGAAACCCGCGCCCGGGGCCTGCTTTGTTTCTGCGGGCTGGACGGCGGCAACAAAAGAGAAAAGCAGTGGCCGTGGTCGTTCTCGCGCCCCGCAGTGGGCACTGCTCAGTCCGCCCGGGCTCTCCCGCCCCGCGCAGGCCGGCCCCATCGCAGCCCTCGGCCCTCGCCCCACCGTGGGGGCCCTCGGCCCCGAGCCCCCGCCCGAGCGGGGCGCCCCCGCGCTGTCGCGCCGAGGCGTGGCGAGGTAGCGGCCGCGGCGGGGCGGAGCGGGAGGGAGGCAGGGAGGCAGGGAGGGAGGGAGGGAGGGAGGGAGCGAGGGAGGGAGGGAGGAGGGAGGGAGGGAGGCAGGGAGGGAGGGAGGGAGGGAGGGAGGGAGGGAGGGAGGGAGGGAGGGAGGAGGGAGGGAGGGGGAGAGGGAGGAGAGGAGGAGGAGGAGGAGGAGGAGGAGGAGGAGGAGGAGGAGGAGGGGAGGGAGCGAGGGAGGGAGGGAGCCAGATCCCCACCCGCTGTGAACAAAGTCGCTGCGGGAGGTTTTGCTGGCTATATTTTCGGCCTCCCAGGGCCCTTCCGGGGCCTCGGGGCCGTCAGGGAGCGACTCGGGATGAAAAACCGGCCCCGGGGATGGGGCCCAGACTTCTGAGGGGCACGTCATGGCGAAAAATCACGACGTCGGGGGTCTGAGGACGGAGGGAGGGATGGAGGGCGGGAGAGAGGATGATGATGCTGATGATGATAATGATGCTGCTGATGATGATGATGGTTATGGTGATGGTTATGGTGATGGTGCTGATGATGCTGCTGATGGTGGTGATGATGATGATGAGGATGATGCTGATAGTGCTGATGATGATGATACCGATTATGAGTTTGATGTTGATGCGGATGATGGTGCTGATGCTGATGCTGATGCTGATGCTGACGATGATGATGACGATAATGAGGATGCTTATGATGATGTTGCGGAGAAGGAGAATGAGGAGGATAACCTTGCAACGAGTACCTCGAGGCTGTGGGATTAGTGGGGTGTCCCTCTTCCTCTCTTCCCTCTCCCCCATCGGGTGCATGTGCACTTGCATGCATGGTCGCCCTGACCTTGTGTCATGGGGTCTGTGCTCAGCAGCAGGAAGAAGGACCAGTGCAACCACGAGACGCATCAACGATGTTGCAAAGATGCCCTCCCTCCAAGCTCCCTCTCCACAGGCCCCTAGAAGAACTTATCTTCATTGCGGGAAGTGGTCCACTAGAAGACGGACGTCTGAGATTCCTGCGGCGCGTGAAAACGCCGTTCCCGGGACTTCAACGCCGCGGGTCAGTGTAAGTGGTGTGCCATCACAATCCTGGCTCGTTCCCGAACGCCGTCAACGTGACTGCTGCGTCGTGACAATCCGTAAAGTGCCAACCAGAACGCCATTCCTCAGACTTCGACCACACGAGCCCGTAGAGTGTTGTAATCTATCGAAGGCGCCTTATGGAATCGTCCATGAGGCCGAGCGTTGTAGCAAGAGCTCTGCCAAGATATCCTACCATATGTTCCCCCCGGCCGTTGCAGAAACCCTTCGGGGAACACTTGGGGGAGGATGGCGGGGAGGATCAGGATGAGGATGGGGATGAGGATGAGGATGAAGAGGAGGAGGAGGAGGAGGAGGAGGAGGAGGAGGAGGAGGAGGAGGAGGGGGAGGAGGAGGAGGAGGAGGAGGAGGAGGAGGAGGAGGAGGAGGAGGAGGAGGAGGAAGGGAGGGGGAGGAGGAGGAGAAGGAGGAGAAGGAGGAGGAGGAGGAGGGGGAATATTTGGAGCATCTGGGGGTACTCTGGGGGCCTCTCCTGTGAGATTCCTGGGAGCTCCTTGAAGGCATCTTGGGGGCCTCTGTGGGTCTTGGGGGAGACTTCGAGGGCTTCTCGGGAGCATCTGTGGCGCACCTGGCCCGTGTGGCGCCGTCCGAAGCCGTTTAGGGGGCCTCTCTGGGCCGACTTGGGGCTTTCTTGGGGTGCTCCAGGGCCGTCTTGGAGGCCATCTTGGGCGTCTTGAAAGCCTCTTGGGCCGTCTCGGGGCCCTCTTGGGACCGTCTTTGGGGCCTCTTGGTCAGTTCTGGGGCCATCTTGGGGGCCTCTTGGGCGATCCTTGGTTGATCTTTGGGGGCTCTTGGGCCGTGGAGGAAGGCGTGGAGGAAGAGGAGGAGTAACAGGCTGCGGCGGATAAGGAGGAGGAGGAGGAGGAACACGAATAAGATGACGACGGGTCATACGAGTGATACTATTACAGCTACTTTCTGCTACTACCATTAGTTACCCTAATACTGATACGAATGCTGTTTATCCGAATGCTACGACCGATGATCATATCGGCAATAACTCAGTGGATCAGTAAACTACGACTAAGACTAGCACATCTCAGTCTACTCGTAGTCATAGCAAGAGTACTACGGAAACGGTCAACACAATACGATCATGAGGAGGGGAAAATGAAGAAGGAGGAGGATCGGGGAGTTGGAGGAAGCTGGCAGGAGGAGGAAGAACAGGAGGGGGGACGGGAGGGAGGAATAATGGGAGGATGAGGGAAGGAACGTGGGGTGGAGGAATAGCGAGGGGGAGACGGAGGAGTATGAGGAGGAGGAGGAGGAGGAGGAGGAGGAGGAGGAGGAGGAGGAGGAGGAGGAGGAGGAGGAGGAGGAGGAGGAGGGAGGAGGGAGGAGGAGGAGGAGGAGGAGGAGGAGGGAGGAGGAGGAGGAGGGAGGAGAGGAGGAGGAGAGGGAGGAGGAGGAGGAGGAGGAGGAGGAGGAGGAGGAGGAGGAGGAGAGGAGGAGGAGGAGGAGGAGAATAGAGGAGGATGGGGACAGGGAGGAGGGCAGGCAGAGGGAAGATGCACGGGGAGATGGAGGACAGGACGAGGAGGAGGGCCAGTGAGCCGCGCCCCGCCAAACGGCGGCCTGCCGTGCGCTCTGGCGTGCAAGCCGGGGCGGCTGGCCAGCGTGACTCCGGCCCGGGGGCCGCCGATGCGTGCACGAACCCGCCTCGGCAGGGCGAGAAAGAGCCAAGGGGGAGGGGATGGAGGAGGCGGCGGAGGAGGAGGAGGAGGAGGAGGAGGAGGAGGGGGAGGAGGAGGAGGAGGAGGAGAGGGGAGGAGGAGGAGGAGGAGGAGGAGAGGAGGAGGAGGAGGAGGAGGAGGAGGAGGAGGAGGAGGAGGAGGGGGGAGGAGGAGGAAGAGGAAAACGTTGAAGCTCGAAGTCCCTGGGAGGAAAGCATACCGATGCCCTTCCTTCGGCCTTATGCAATTGTCGGGGGCCTCCTGGAGGGCAGCCCGAGCAGCGGCATCGCTCCACCTCCTCCCCCCATCTTCTCCACCCCACGGGCGGCGCGGAAAAAACACGAAGGGCGTTGCCGACCCTGTTTTCGGAGCGCGGGGGCGTTGGTCGATCCCGCGTCAGAGGACCTCCCGAATGTAGCGATGAGGTTAGTGGTTCCGGTCGTGCTCTGATTCCCCGCGGCCTTTCCCCCCCCCCCCCCCCCCCCCGTCCCCCGTAAGGGTCTCATCCAAGTGCCCTGGAACATGCAGTTTTCTATTCGATTTCCGTTGTGGGCGTCGTCTGCACTTAGGGGCTTCTATTTCTTTTCTAGGGAACTGGGCCTGCCCGTCGGTATGGCGGCTATGTGGTCGCCGTCACCGCCCCGTCGCCGCCTCGTCGCCGCCCGTCTTCTCGGCCTGCCCGTCGGTCTGTTGGCTATGTGGTCTCCGCCGCCCCGTCGCTCTGGGCCCGCTCGTCGGTCTGGCGGATCTGTGGTCGCCGTCGCCGCCCCTTCGCCGTATGGGCGTGCCTTAGTTTGCATTGTTTTGCGTTGCTATGCATGGCATTCCATGGGTCTGAAATGCTGTATTTGAGTTGTCTTGCATTGCTTTGCATTAATTTCCACTGCTCAGCATTTCATTGCTTTACGTTGCATTGTTCTGCATTGCTCGGCACTGCTTTGCACTGCTTTGACTTTTTTGTGTTGATTTACACTGCTTTGCATTGCTTGGCATGGCCTGGAATTGCGCTGCGCCGCACATATTGCACCACGTGGATACCACCACCCAGATTGTACCACATGGATTGCACTACCTAGATTGCGCCGTACAGGTTGCAAACGCTTCCTGTGTGGGGTCCACGCTAGCTAACCTATCTTCTGAGGAATATGAGGGGCAACCATGGGGGATAAATAAATGCAGTGCACTGAAACCAAAGAGCACTGTGACAACGAGTGTGTGTGTTTTTTGTTTGAATGAGTTCAGCGTGTGAGACAGAGAACACACAAACTGTTGAAACACAATGTTCTTAGCAACCAGCGCTACAACAGATGTTTTATAATGGGATTGGTCTCCAGCGTTCAGGAAAATAAAACATTGTAACACACCGTTTTCGGCACTCAGAGCTCCAAAACGATGTGTTTGACAGCGTGTTGGGTGTCGGACGTTAAGCACGCATTGTGAACACAGCGTTGCGGCTTTACACAAGGGTTCCTTTTGTGGCTGCTTTATATAAGGATGCCTTACCTGGTGGCCTTGCAACAGAGTTCTTTCTGTGGCGGCCTCACAAACATAATTCCCATTGTGGGAGCATTACAGAAGGACTACTTGGTAATACATTACAATTTGGTTAGTGTTGTAGCGGGTTGCACATCGAATTTTTCTTTGGCGGCCTTACAGGTTAATTAGTCTTGTGGCGCGTTGCAAATCCATTTGCTCTGCGGCAGAATTATATTTTTTTGTGTGGCGGATTCCTTTTGTGTCGGCCTACAAACGGACCCCCTTTTTGCGGCGATATGTCAAATTATTTCCTGTTGTGGCGGCCTTTTATAAGGGTTCTCGGTGTAGCGTTCTTGCAACCATGATTTTTTTGTGAGGCATGAGGGGGGGATCAAGAGGAGGCATAGCAAAAACATGAAGATCATCAGAAGCAACTGTGAGACCCCGTAGATGTTTCAATCCTGCGGGTGATGGGGGCTGAGAAAACCTTTGGAACCAGAGCGTTTTCAGCACCCAGTGTTTTCAAACTGAGTGTTATACAGTGTGCAGGGGTCTCGAGCGTTTTCCTTCCCTGCGACGTAAAGTCATGTTTTCAGCACTTGGAGCTCCAAATCGTTGTGTCCTTCATGACTTCTAACGTCCGAGACCAAACACATTGTGAAACACAATAGTTTTGGAGCGCCAGCATGACTGAAATTACATGTTTTCTGTTGTGATGTTTGTTTGATCATTTCTCCACTTGTTTCTCTC